CGATCTAATCCTGTTTATATGAATTGAACCTGCTCCCGATAAGGTTTGACCTAGCAGAACTGTTGCTATGACAACAACTCTCGGATCATCTTTGAAGAACGAAACGATCCTGGATCATGTCAAATCGTCAATACCCAAATCCAGCTAACTGAGTAATCCACGTACGAAGAACGGACCCCTGGTCCGATCGGGCCCCACCAAAAAAAAGTGAAGTTAATAGCTATTTTTAAACGACATATTTTAAATAATGTGTCAAAAATAAAGTCTGTAAATCTAGAATTTCAATACTTAAAAAACGATTGTAAATATAAGTGTTACGCAAACAAAAAGAGCAGTGTGGAAAATGTGGAGGCATTTTATTGCGGTTTGAAATTATTTAACAAAGGGTGGCTGACTTGTCAAACTGACGACAAACTGTGCAAGTGTGTTTTTTTTTGCGTTGTTCACATGTAAATTTCTGCTTTCAAGACGTTGGAAACAGACATTTTCTTTTAGCCTTAGAATTTGATGTTGCCGCCATGTTGCCATTTCTTCGCTGTACTGGTTGTTACCAGGTTACAAAAAAAAATAGAATTCTCAATCAGATAAGAGGAACCGGAAAGCAATATGGTGTTTACGACATCACAGAGAAGGTAGTGTTTAAAGACTTAAAAGCACAAGCTTAAAATGCACGCAATTGATAAATAGTCACAGACAAATTAAATGTTAGTGACAGGGCAGCACTGTCCCAATCGGGCCAGTAATGATCCGGTCTACTGTCCCAAGTGTCTGTCACGCTGGCCCTGGGCCACCGGGCAGTCCTTATTGTTGAGCCCTGATTAGTTTAAAAAATAAAAATAAAACAGTGGTTAAATCAAATCTTTGTTCTCAATAAACGCCCTTGACATTTCCTTTATTCATGAAAAACTTATGTTGACCATAAATGTACAGTTGAAGTCAGAATTTTTAATCCCTTTTTGATTTTTTTTTTCATTTTTAAAAATATTCCCCAAATGATGTTGAACAGATTCAGGAAATCTTCACAGTATGTCTGATAATATTTTGTCTTCTGGAGAAAGTCTTATTTGTTTTATTTCGGCTAGAATAAAAGCAGCTATTAATTTTTTAAACACCATTTTAAGTACAAAGTTATTCGCCCCTTTAAGATATATATTTTTCCGATAGTCAAAAGAACAAACCATCGTTATACAATAACTTGCCTAATTACCCTAACCTGCCTAGTTAACCAAATTACCCTAGTGAAGCCTTTAAATGTCACTTTAAGCTGTATAGAAGTGTCTTGAAAAATATAACTGTGTACTGTCATCATGACAAAGATAAAATAAATCAGTAATTAGCGATGAGATATTAAAACTATTATGTTTAGAAATGTGTTGAAGAAATCTGCTCTCCGTTAAACAGAAATTGGGGGAAAAAATAAAACGGGGGCGAATAATTCTGACTTCAACTGTGTATATATATATATATATATATATATATATATATATATATATATGTGGTGTGGTGTAGTGTGGTCCCTGCTATACGCACGTATACTCCGTAGGCCTAGTTTTTTCTACGAGCTGTTAGGGTATTACCACTTTTGAGGATTAATATTTGCGTATACCCTCGATATACTCACTGTTTTTGCTGATTAGACTTCCCTAATTCATGTGTATTCACGTCCCCTTTAACTGTATACCAAATGTATTTTTTAACTGGCATCTTGATTTGTTGCGACTGGTGCCTTTGTTTAATTTGCGCCATTCCCCACACTCTGATGACCACAGCAGCTGTGAGAACGTTTCGTGAGAGTTTTTCGAAGATCACACCTAGGGTTGTAACGGTATGAATTTTTTACGGTATGATAATCGTCTAAAACAATACCACGGTTTCGCGGTATACGGTATTAAATAGTAATTCTCATAGCAAAGACCCTGAAAAGAATAAGAACACGTTTTCTGACTGAACAAAGGTTTTATTTCAACAAACTTTTGAAAGAACCATTTTAATAGAACTATAGAAGTCTTTTATAAAAATAAACTGAAAAATCTCCCATTTTAATAAATTAAATTAGAAGGAATAAACAAGCAGGGTCTTTTAAGATTAGACAAAAATAAACAAACTGTCCTTCCTTATAAGCAGGATAAATGGGAGACCAAAAGTGCAATACCAAGTTTATGGCTGTAAACATGTATTTAAAGCGTTGTTTTTTTCAGTCTAGGTTGTGATGAAGAAATGTAAGCATGTTGAGATTTTCAGGACTTAATCTTGACCGCTGAGGTGAGAGAATGTGTCCACTTGTACAATGAACAAATAAAAAAATAATAAATAATGTGTCAAAGTCCAAATAAACATGGTGCAAATCCTCAGTAAAAAAATAGATATAAATATTTACTATACTATAAATAGTTACATAACGAAACTAGATTCAATATGGAACATCCTTAGGTTTTATGTGCCAGCATGGATATGGTTGTCTGTGGATATGGATTTGGATGTGGTTGTCTGCAATGCAGATAAACAGCTGCACCTTCATTTGCGTCTTTTGAAAACAGCAAGAGCAGCAGTTCGTCTTTGCTGTGTCACTGTTTTGTCATGTTTCTGTGCTGCTGTGCATGCAAAAGTACTTAGTATGAGAATTATTTCATGCAAAACTTTTTTTTTAAATGTATGTATAAATGTATGCCTATCTCTCATTCCGTGTTGTTCAAAAAGCTCAGTGTTGGTCCACAAACAAAAGCGAAACCTATGCTTATTGGTTGTGATATAGCGAGTTTGAACCAATCTGGGCATGGAGGAGGGACAATGCATCAATGTATCATGTCTGGTTTGTCCGGAGACACAGTGACGAGCGTTTCTTTGTCAAATCAGCGTGGTCAAATTTTGATGACGTAACCGCACTGATTCCGGAGCCTCTGAAAGTCCGCGAATGTTATGTGATACAGCACTGGAAAGCTTCTTTATGCCAATTTTTGAATTGTATGAATCGGATCAGCGGATCAAAAGTTATTAAACATTTAAGAGCAATACTTATTTTTAGCCGCGGGCGGCTGTCTCGGTCTTTAAGGGTTAAAACCGTTGATATGCAATTGTTCATGGTATGATAATCGTGCACGTTCAAATCGTGGTAGACCGTCATACCGGTATATTGTTACAACCCTAATCACACCAAATCAACTGAATGAAGTCCTGCTGAAACTTTCGAGTAAAATTTAAAAACAGAATGGGTGTCCCTTAAGCACTCCTATATTTCCATTGGGCCCCCCTAAAACATTTTTTGCGATGACCTCAGGAACTGTACATCCCCAACTGACCGCCTCAGTCCCCTTTAATTTTTGTATATAAAAACGGCGGCAGACTTCCGCTCCTCTGTTTTCAACTCGTTTTTCATTTAGTCAGCAAACCACAGCTGTAAGCACAAGGTGTGTTTATCGATAGATCGTTGGAATATCTGCATATTATTATACATCTATTTAATCGGACTCATATACATTTACAAATACAGCTCAATATAATCAGCCACATTTGTTTTAATATGTTTATATGTATGGATAGTTCACCCAAAAATTAATAGCTTTTGTTTTTTCTTCTGTGGAAGTGAATAGTTACAGGTAACTGATGTTTAGTATATATATATATATATATATATATATATATATATATATATATATATATATATTATGGCTCGAAATTGCAACCATTTTGGTCGCATATGCGCCCGAAAGTTTATCTATGTGACCTCAAAATATATTTAGGAGCATTTTTGCGAGTGTATAGAATTGTTGTGTGCGACCAGTTTTTACTGCAAAATGTTTAGCACATGCGCGGATTCGGGAGATATGCACGCAGAGTGCACTTGAAACGCGAAACGCGGCGCTCAGGAATGGTTTAAAACAGTTGTCATGTCAACTTGCTGCAGTAAACAAAGCCAAGTCCGTAATGCTTGCCCCGCCTTCGCGCTCTTCTTATTGGCCCACCACTGCTCTAGCGCTGAAATGTCAGCTGTCAATCACTCACTCAGTGCCTTCTGGCTGGGGATGACAGCGAGAGCTACTACCGCGAAAAATTGTAAAGCGCTGAAGATGAGAATGAAGATAACACTGACTGATTTTGTTTTAGAAACTATGGCATCTAAAATGTAATGTGCAACACAAATGTCCTGATATCTCAGGCTGTTGATGTTGCCATCCACTCTGCAGATCTCTTGCAAGCCCTAATACTGAACGTAACTTCAAATCATGATTTTTTCCAAACTTGACTGATTTCTGTAAGAGTCTTGGGTCCAAGCAGGTTCCAATAGATTTTGCAGTATTTGTGATGATTGGTATATATATATATATATATATATATATATATATAGCTAATGAATCAAAGTAACATTGTCTTTCGTCGTTTCTTTGCCTACTTTTTAAAATTTGGATTGGGTGGATAATAGTACACCACCTTTTTTTAGGACTACACCACTGTATGTATATAAATATATATATATATATAAATTTATACAACAGTTCTGTCTGGTTCTTGAATCTGATTGGCTGATAGCTGTGATATATTTAAGTAATATCAGCACCCGTACAGCCTCATTACCCTTTGTATATTACTCCGGCCATACACAACCAGCAAAAGAGACTCTCCATGTTTGATTTTGTTTTTATATACACAATTATGCCATCAAACTGTGGTATAAACGCAATATCACACTCGTAGCAGTGCAATATGGCTGTATATCGGCACTGGTGGGAGGCTGCTACTCATGTGATATTGCTCATATATATATATATATATATATATATATATATATATATATATAAGTTTAATTATTAATACTATTATTTAAGACATATCGGAGCAAACTATTTCTCACTATTTATAGGGCTGACCCCTCAAACATCTTGTTTTGATGTCCTACAGGAAGGTTAATGCGTTAATTAAAGCCAACTGTAATTCTCACCCTGTCTATTAGGGTTAAATAAACATATAAAACACACTGCACAAAATAAAGAATTAAATAGAGGACTGACCTTATATGAGAGCGGATCACAGGGAATTGTCCTCTGTCTTCAGTGGTTTTCAGGGTTTAGCCGTTTGTTGTGGTTTCTCCTGTACACAATAGTTTCTGCTTGAATCCATCCCGCATCAGCCTTCGGGAATCGAGTTGACAAGGCTTTTATCCTCGCGAATTGGGCAGCAGAACACAGCAAAGTTGTCCTTTTCCTTCAAGTGCTTCTTCCATTTCACTCGCCAGCAGGTTTTCAAATTAGAGTGGGAAATATAAATATATATATATATTGATAATATGGAATATGATACTGATAGCCACAAACTTCACATAGACAGTGTTGCAGACTAACAATGAAAGTATTGATCAAGACCCTAAACACCGAACGAGTAACTTTACAAAAATATATATATATATGTACATGTGTTTTAAATAGTGTGCTCTTGAACGAAATAAAACTAGTTTGGCTTTTCACTCGGGTTGGAGTTAACACTGTACAACAGTAACTTAAAAAAAGGGTGGTGAAAGTGTTAAGGCCTGTGATCTGATCATCCCAGCAGTTCCTCAAGGGTTAGTTCACACAAACAATGAAATGTACGTAATATTGACTTATTTTCTTCCTTCTGTTGAACACTAAAGGAGATATTCTGAGGACAACCGCTTGTTGCTGATTTCCATTGTAGGAGAAACAAACGCTATTGACTAGAAGTCAAACTATCTTCTTGTGTGCTCAACAGGCTTTGGGTGAACTATCCTCGTGTATTTATTTCACTGCTTTGTGCTTCAATTTGAACAGCGAATCATGAAAGTACGGCTGACGCCCAAGAGGTTGATGGATTATTATCGAGCATTACTGTAGATTTCAATTTCCAGGACTTCAGCAGGATGAAGATCCTTGATTAGCATAGTAGAGAATGGATGGACTAGCGGTTCCTCTGGAGCGTTTATCGTGTCATCTTGAAGATTTCTTCTCCGCATGAAGTTCACATGAAGGGCCACCGCTGAGAGATGCCTCCTCGTATTCAGTCTCCCTGAGATAGAAACAGCTGAAACGGGAAGCACTGCTAGTGCAAAGGGGTGGAGGTGGCCACACTAGAGGTCCGTTTCTCTAGTGTCCAAACAAAACGCATAAAGGGAGCGTTTAATATCCATCCTGCTGTTAGCCTTCGTGTTGCTCTTCTCCACGGGCGTGTTTGAGTCTTCGTTGCGTTCTACGTCTTTAGACGACTTCCTCAAGCCATGCAGATCATCACTCTGGTTTGAGGTGCCGCCGTTGTTGGGCTCGTCTCTGAGGGACGCCTGATCTTGGTCAGTTTCTCTGTGGTAGAAATAATTGAAGTTAGACACGATGACTGGCACCGGAAGCGCAATGGTCAAAACCCCGGCGATGGCGCAGAGAGAGCCCACTATCTTCCCCCCCACGGTCACCGGCCTCATGTCTCCATAGCCAACGGTGGTCATGGTGACCACTGCCCACCAGAAGGCATCAGGGATGCTGGAGAAGTGCGACTCGGGTTCGTCGGCCTCAGCGAAGAAGACGGCGCTGGAGAACAGAATGACGCCGATGAACAGGAAGAAGATCAGCAGGCCCAGCTCCCGCATGCTGGCTTTCAGAGTCTGACCCAAGATCTGAAGCCCTTTGGAGTGTCTGGAGAGCTTAAAAATACGAAACACCCGGACTAAACGAATGACCCGCAGGATGGCCAGAGACATGGCCTGCTGGCCATTATTGTGCTCCTGGCCCTGCTGCTCCGCCAGCTCAGTGCCCACAGTGATGAAGTAAGGCATAATGGACATGATGTCGATGATGTTCATGATGGTTTTGGAGAACTCGGACTTACTGGGACAGGCGAAGAAGCGCACGAAGAGCTCGAAGGTGAACCAAATCACACAGGTGGTTTCTATGATGAAGAACGGGTCGGTGAAGGTGAGCGACGGTCGCTCCTGAGTGCCGTTAACCGCGCGGCTCGTCACCGGAAGTTCCCGCTCGTCGCGAAACTCGGGTAAAGTTTCCAAACAGAAGGTGATGATGGAGATGGTGATGACGATGACGGAGACGATAGCGATGCCTCGCGCGGGACTAGAACTTTCGGGGTACTCAAAAATGAGCCATACCTGTTTCTGAAACTCGTTCTGAGGCAACGGCTTCTCTTCCTCCTTGATAAAACCCTCATCCTCGCGGAAACGGTCCATCGCCTCCTCTCCCAGCTGGTAGAAGCGGATTTCGTCGGCGAACACGTCGATGGACACGTTAACAGGTCGCCGGATTTTGCCGCCAGACTGATAGAAATAGAGAATCCCGTCAAAACTCGGTCTGTTGCGGTCGAAGAAATACTCATTCCTGAGGGGGTCGAAATACTTTATTCTCTTGTCTGGGTCTCCCAGTAATGTGTCAGGAAACTGGTTCAAAGTGCCCAGCTGGGTCTCGAACCTCAGTCCGGCGATGTTGATCAGAACTCGCTCGTTGTTCTCGTGGTCCAAATCCATGTCCAGGATGTCCTCCTCGAACAAATGGGGACTGTAATAATCCACCGTGTTCTCGGTGGAGCCCATGATCGTGCTGTTCATGTCGTTCATTTTCCACGAGCTCTGCTGCGGACTTCTCGGGAACACTTCTTTGTTGTGGACCAGTCGCGGATGATCCAGTGAGTTTTGGTTCTGGTAGCTCTCTCCATCTCCGCGCTTTTCAAAACTCACCAAAGCTATCTCCATTTCCAAGCCATTAAACATTCATTCGTGAAAAGCATGTAGATGTCCGAAGCGAAAGCTCCTCGTAAATCCACACTCGTTTTCTTTTCCCTGCGACTGTTCCGTAGAGCTGTGTTATAATCCAAGCATCCTCTCCTCACTCTGGTAAATGCGTGTGTGTTCCGAGCGTAAGTACTTGAGCGATTCACATGAGAGTCGGTTCTTTTGAAGAGACTCTTTTGAGTGAGTCGTTTCGCAGAGCGTCAAGTGTAACTCGGCTGGAAAGACTTTCACTATAGCGAAATGATATAAGGGCATGACTATAAACAAGAGTGGTTATCTAGCTGTAAAGTGTAGTAAAATGCTACAGCAGTCTACAGTCGAGTCTCAGACAAATGAATCAATGATCTGAACCGTTTCGCTCTTATAGAGAGAGAGAAAGAGATCGAGAGAGACTCTCTTTTCCTTCGTTCATCATCATATATTTATTTATTCATTTATTAAAAACAAGTTATACTTAATTTGTAAGATTAACTAAAAAGTTAAAGTATAAAAGTTAATGTAAAAAGTATTTAGCTGTAAAAAAATATCCAGTTTATGTGTGTGTTTATGTGTTATATGATTCTTACACTGCTTTATTTATTTATTCATTCATTCATTTTCTTTTCCGGCTTAGTCCCTTTATTAATCCGGGGTCGCCACAGCGGAATGAACCGCCAACTAATCCAGCATATGGATGCCCTTCCAGCTGCAACCCATCACTGGGAAACCAGATCCATACACACTCATTCACACACATACACTACGGACAATTTAGCCCACCCAATTCACCTGTACTGCATGTGTTTGGACTTGTGGGGGGAATCCGGAGCACCCGGAGGAAACCCACGCAAACACGGAGAGAACATGCAAACTTCACACAAAAATGCCAACTGACCCAGCCGGAACTTTTTTTATTTATTTATTTATTTATTTGTTTGTTTGTTTGTTTGTTTTATTTATTTGTTTGTTTTATTTATTTATTTGTTTATTTATTTGTTTGTTTGTTTTATTTATTTATTTGATTATTTATTTATTTGTTTGTTTGTTTTATTTATTTATTTATTTGTTTGTTTATTTATTTATTTGTTTGTTTGTTTATTTTATTTATTTGTGTGTTTATTTATTTGTTTGTTTTATTTATTTATTTGATTATTTATTTATTTGTTTGTTTGTTTGTTTTATTTATTTATTTGTTTGTTTGTTTATTTTATTTATTTGTTTATTTTATTTATTTATTAATTGATTTTTTATTTGTTTGTTTTATTTATTTGTTTGTTTATTTATTTTATTTATTTGTTTATTTTATTTATTTATTAATAAATTTTTTATTTGTTTGTTTGTTTATTTATTTATTTTATTTATTTGTTTTATTTATTTATTTATTTGTTTGTTTATTTATTTATTTGTTTGTTTATTTATTTATTTATTTATTTATTTATGTAAGTGTTTATTTATTTGTTTATTATTTATTTATTTATTTTATTATTTAATTAATTAATTTATTAATTTATTAATTTATTAATTTATTTATTTAATTGTATTTATTTATTTATTTATTTATGTATGTATGTAAGATATAACCCTTTAGTGAGTGTGTTTATGTAGTAGATTCTTACACTGCTTCATTTATTTATTTAAAATATAACATGACCCTTTTTCATAGAAAACAATATGCAGAAAAATAATTAAAAAAAAAATGATAATAAAAAAAATAAATAAATAAAAAGCTGTCGTCACTTGCCAAGCATTCTGATCCAGCTTCTGCCCCTGCCGTTCGCCGAGTCTTTTCGTGTGATTTATTTCCTGGCATCTGTGCTAAATTAGCATACATTCACACATGAGTTCACATTTTGCCTCGGTCTAAGTTGCATCATCACTATAAGTCTGTGCCATTTTCTGACGTTATTCTGAGAGACAGAACATGTTCAATTAGCCCGGCACAAAGGAATCCACGCATGATTCCTGCATGTGCATCAATGTAAAGCAACGAGGCTTCAAAAGATGTCTCACAGGATTGATTGCTCGAGAATAATGTTGAACGCGCACATGATTCGCTTGCATGAACTCACAACTGAACCCCAGTATACTATCAGCTGTCTACAAATTATATCGGAGTAATCTGGAATATTTCCTCTGGCTGGGATAAAACTATCAAAGCACATCAGACTGACTTTCTTGATAATGCTTTTAGATAAAATATAGTAAATAAATATTCATACCACGTTACTTTCATCCCCACTGTCCCCTGTTCTGTTTACACTACATGTAAAAATGCTTTTGAATTCGTTATATTAGGGTTAACTCTTGAGATGTACCATCTCTTTTTCAAAGGGGGTCCCGCAATTCATCACATTCACATAATAATAGCACAAGAAAACAAAACGAATGATACACTCACTGGCCACTTTATTAGGTACACCTTACTAGAAACGATTCGGATCCCATTTTGTCTTCAGAACTGCCTTAATTCTTTGTGGCGTAGATTCAACAAGCTAAAGGATATATTCCTCCGTATTGAGACGATAGCGTCACTGCAGTTGCTGCAGATTTGTCAATTTTGAATCTCCCGTTCCATCACATCCCAAAGGTGCTCTATTGGATTGAGCTCCGGTGACTGTGGAGGCCGTTCAGTGAACTCGTTGTCGTGTTCAAGAAACCGACCCGGTGTGGTTTTCTGCTGCTGTAGCCCATCTGCCTCAAGGTCGGACGTGTTGTGTGTTCAGAGATGCTCTTCTGCAGATCTCGGTTGTAGCGAGAGGTTATTTGAGTTACTGTTGCCTTTCTATCAGCTAGAACCAGTCTGGCCATTCTCCTCTGACCTCTGGCATCAACAAGGCACCACAGAACTGCCGCTCACTGGATATTTCCTTATTGTCGGAGCATTCTCTGTAAAGCCTAGAGATGGTTGTGCGTGAAAACCCCAGTAGATCAGCAGTTTCTGACATACTCAGACCAGCCCGTCTAGCACCAACAACCATGCCACATTCAGAGTCACTTAAATCCCCTTTCTTCCCAATTTGAACTGCAGCAGATCGCCTTGACCATGTCTACATGCCTAAATGCATTGTGTTGCTGCGAGGTGATTGGTTGATTAGAAATTTGTGTTAACAAGCAGTTGGACAGGTGTACCTAATAAAGTGGCCGGTAAGTGTGTATGTATGTATATATGTGTGTGTGTGTGTGTGTGTGTGTGTGTGTGTGTGTGTGTGTGTGTGTGTGTGTGTGTGTGTGTGTATATAGTTCAGATGCAAAACCCTCTAAATGCCATATATATATTTTTTTTTTTCAAAGTAATTTTTTATAATTATTATTTAATTATTTTAATTAAATTGCAAAAAGAACTGTCCATGATGCAATGCAGCTGCAGTATTTTTCATTTGCAGTAAGTGTTTAACATCCTATTCATATAGTGGAAACCTCATTGCTCTGTATTATTTAGGTTATATATATATAATCAAAAGTATCCAATAATACCCAACTGACTGCAAATTACAATATACCCAACCCTAACTATAAATATTTTCATAGTAGCTATACCTTATACCATTTATTTACATATTGATATATATATCTAAATATATTGTAAATTTTTTTTTATTTCTTCTTAGCAAGATGTCACTTTATAAGCGTGAAAAAAACACAATGGACAATCTCTCAGTCCCGCTGAGCGAGGCGCGTCCTTGTTATGCTGAGATTTCTTTAAAACAGTAAAGCTGTGATATCTTACAGAAGTGCTTCAGATACAGCTCTCTCCACATGCTGAGCAATCTGCCTGCTCACAAATAAACACCCTGAAAGTCTGCCACTAAAGACAAATAGGAAAATATATATGCTTAAAAAGACTGTTAGCCGCCGTTCACACAGAATCTGTTTTCCTCTCTAACACGCTACTTTTCTATTGTTTTTCAATGTAAACACACTTGATGGACATGTTTGACAGTTAAGCTACACTGTAAAAATGTACCCTAAAATAACAGATATTAAATTACAGAAATTAACTGTAAAATAACGGATATTAAATTACAGAAATTTACCATTAAATAACAGATATTATATTACAGAAATTTACTGTAAAATAAAGGATATTAAATTACAGAAGTTTACTGTAAAATAACAGATATTAAATTACAGAAACCTACCGTGAAATAACGGATATTATATTACAGAAATTTACTGTAAAATACCGGATATTAAATTACAGAAATTTACAGTAAAATAACGGATATTAAGTTACAGAAATTTACGTAAAATAACAGATATTAAATTACAGAAATTTACTGTAAAATAACAGCTATTAAATTACAGAAATTTACCATAAAATAATGGATATTAAATTACAGAAATTTACCGTAAAATAACGGATATTAACTTACAGAAATTTACTGTAAAATAACAGACATTAAATTACAGAAATTTACCGTAAAATAACGGATATAAAATTACTGAAATTTACTGTTAAATAACAGATATTACATTACAGAAATTTACGTAAAATAAAGGATTTTAAATTACAGAAATTAATCGTAAAATAGCGGATATTAAATTACTGAAATTTACTGTAAAATAACATAATAAATTATAGAAATTTACCGTAAAATAACGGATTTTAAATTACATAAATTTACCATAAAATAACAGATATTAAAATCCTGAAACTTACCGTAAAATAACAGATATTAAATTACAGAATTTTACTGTAAAATAACAGATATTAAATTACAGAAACTTACTGTAAAATAACGGATATTAAATTACAGAAACTTACTGTAAAATAACGGATATTAAATTGCAGAAATTTACTGTAAAATAATGGATAATAAATTACAGAAATTAACCGTAAAATAACGGATATTAAATTACAGAAATTAACAGTAAAATAACGGATATTAAATTACAGAAATTAACCGTAAAATAACGGATTTTAAATTACAGAAATTAATTGTAAAATAATGGATATTAAATTGCTGAAATTTACTGTAAAATAAAAGATATTAAATTATAGAAATTTACCATAAAATAACAGATTTTAAATTACAAAAATTTACCGTAAATTAATTTCTGTATCATGTTTTTACGGTAAATTTCTGTAATTTAAGGGCCTTTATTTTACTTTTTTTTTTTCGGCGACCCAGCTGTCAGAAATAAACCGTACAATTTTGGATTTTTTTACAGTGTAGTTTCTCGTGTCTTTTGAAGTGTGTGATTGTAATTTGCCAACGCTTTTAAGACGCTGTGTTAATTTAAAATAAATCTTCAACTTTCACATGGAGCACAGTTCATCACTGTCAGCTCCACAGCAATGGACCAAAAATTTCTGTAATTTAATATTTGTTATTTTACAGTATATTTCTGTAATTTAATATCTGTTATTTTACATAAAATTTTCCTGTATGAAAAACAAAAATGTCAGTAATTTGTCTTTATTGATAAAGTA